TCGCGGCGCATGGGAGGCCTATCTAGAGATAATAGTGGCTCTTCACTAGATGAAAAACTTTACGGAGGAGGATCTACTCTTGTACCTCTGGAGGTTGATCAACGTTTGGATCCTGGCGCGGTATATATGCGTTGGGACAATAATGATTCTCGGAGGAGTTTACAGGACGAGCATGATTATAGCAGAAAGGTATTACGGGTGATTAACCCGGATTATGGCCGTGATAGTCTTGAAAACAACATGCGACGACCTTGATTGTTTCATTTTTTTTTTTTTTATTTTAACATGTGTTTTTTTTTTTTTTTTTAATCAGTTTTAATCTTGTTTCTAATTTTGTTTTTAGTTTGGGAGGAGTTTTTTTTTTTATTTTTTTTTAATACGCATTTCGGTTATGAAGTTTAAAAAAAAAAAAAATGACGACAAGTCATTAAATATCTACACAAAGAAGAAGAAAAAAAAATAAAAATAAAAAAAAAAAAAAACGAGAAAGAACTTCTAAAGTTGCTGGTAAGAGAAGAAAAAATATTACTAGATAAGAAGGGAAAGTTTTTTGTTTTGTTTTTTTTTATTTTTTTTTCTTTTGCAACGTTTCTAAATTGAAGAAGAGGATATATTTATTTAATAAAGAGTATATAATTTTTGTATATGAAAAAAAAAAAAAAAAATTTTTTTAATGATGAAGAAGGTATTTTTTTTTTATTAAAAAAAATGAAGATGATAAGGTTTATATAAAAAAGAAAGAAAGAAAGAAAGAAAGAAACCGTTTTTGGTTAATGTCTTGAGTTGTAAAATATTAAAATATATAAATCCAAAAAAAAAAAAAAAAAAAAAAAAGTAAAAATACCAAAATCTGGTTATACATGTCGTCATTGTTTGTTATTTAAGCATTAAAATGTTCGCTTGTATATATTTATTTATTTATTATTATTATATTAAGATAAATCTTAAAGTTTTAAGAGTTTTAAAAATAAAAAAAAAAATAAAAAAAAAAAAAAGTCAATTAAAATGTTGAAAAAAAAAAAAAAAAAAAAAAAAAATTTTTTTTTCATCAACTTTCCATTTAAGATAATTGAAATATGGAAAATAAGAATGAAAAAAAAAATCCAAAAAAAATCCAAAAAAAATCCAAAATTTTATTTAAAACATTCCCAGGCGGCACATGGCTAAAGATTCCAAGGTATAATAATTTTCAATATGAAGAAGAAGAAAATTTCTTAAAAGAATATATATATATATATCATTCTGCATGTTTAACAGAAATTAATATTATTTTTGTATTTATATTTATATTTGTAAAACTAGTTTGATTTAAGAAAAAAAAAACAATCGTTTCTAAAAATACAAAAATACAAAATTAATTTAAACTATTTTATTATAAATTATTATAATTTATATATTTTATATTAATAAATAAAATATACCTTCAAAAAAAAAAAAAAAAAAGAGAGATGGGCAATTTTAATGTTAATAATAGAAGTTTGAAGATAATAAAAATTAAAAATTAAAAATAATAAATAATTAATAAACAATCCCCCCCCACACTTTCTAATGAAGTGTAAAAAAAAAAAAAAAAAAAAAAATTTAGATCAAAATCAAATGTCAATAACGAATTTTAGCAAGCAAGCAATCATATATATATATAACACTCTTAAAGACCTTTTAAACATTACTTTTATTTAAGAATATCAAAGCTTAGTTTTTTTTGTCTTCTTCTTCTTCTTCTTCTTCTTCTTCTTCTTCAGTTAAGTCTTTGTTTATTTAAAATAGCATATTAACTCTTTATCCTTATTCTTTACAAGGATAACTAACTATTTATTTTAAGAATTTTAAAAATTTTTAAAATATCTATTCCTTTATATATATATATATATATATATATATATATATATATATCATTACTTCTTTGTTTAAATTTTTCTTTAAAAATAACCACTTGTTTATATATATATATTAAAATATTAAAAATAAAAAATCACCTTATCACAAAATGAACTTTTTACAAGATATATATATCTTAAGATAGTCAAAAAAAAAAAAAAAAAACTCTCTCTTCTTTCCACTAATTGACATATTTAAAGTCATATTAGGCAATTCCACTTTTAACCCATCAAAATCTCCCATGCAACAAAAAATCATATTAAGATCCTTTAAAAAGTCTTTGTAAAATAATAAAAATAATAATAATAAAACAATTAACTATCAACTTAAACCAAGCTTACCTTTTTTTTTTTTTTTTTTTTTTTTTTTTTTTTGACAAACTAACTAGTTATTAGAATATTAGAAATTTTAAATGTAACTTTTTTTTCCTTTCTTTCTTTCTACTTTCTACTTTTTATTTTTTATTTAAAAAAAAAAAAAAAAAAAACACTACGCCGTTCTGCGTTATCTGGGACTTCGTTTGGTTGGCTGTCATTCATTCAATTGCTGCATTGTGCATTCCTGCAGATAACTACTACTACCACTACTACTACTACTACTGTTGTTGTTATCAAACTGGGCTTTTGGCAACAATAACAGTAGTAGTAATAGTAGTCATTCAGTCCTTTTTATTTCTTTTGCCCAGTAATATATAAAATAGTCATCGTTAAATCTTTTTTTTTCTTACTAGTCTAGCCTATTTATATATTTGTATTGTAAAAAAACAAAATTTTTTTTTTTTTTTTTGGTCCATCTTTTTATCAAACTAAAAAACAAAAAAAACAAAAAAAAAAAAGGCTCTCTCCATAATATAGAAAGAAAAAAAAAATAGAATCTGCTGGTGTGTTGTTGTTGTTGTTGTCTTTGGAATTAATTATTCGCGCGGACATTTGATTGTAAATTTATTTTTTTATTTTTTTATTTTATTTTATTTTATTTTATTTTAATTTAATTTTTTTTCGGGTGATGATTTTGACGACGACGACGACGACGACGACGACGACGACGACGACGACGACGACGACAATATTTTTTTTTTTTTTTTTTTTGAACAATCGGGAAGACTTATTTCAAACATGGCTAACACGGGTATAAATAACAATTTTATTATATAAAAAAATAATTAATTGGGAAATCTTTTAAAATCATTCAAATCATCCAAGTCTTTTTTTTTTTAATTTTTTTAATTTTTTTAATTTTTATAATCACTCAATCTGTTTTCGTTTTCATTTTCGTTTTCATTTTCGTTTTCATTTTCATTTTCATTTTCATTTTCATTTTCATTTTCATTTTCATTTTCATTTTCATTTTCATTTTCATTTTCATTTTCATTTTCATTTTCGTTTTTTATTTTATTTTATTTAAAAACATTGTTAATTCAAAAGGGTTCAAACATTCCATCAATGATAAGCTTTTCAAACATTAAGAACATAGAAATAAAAATAGAAATAAAAAAATAAAAAAATTGTATATATCAGGGAATTCAAGGCGTCTGTATATATATATTTCTATTTTTTTTTTTTTAACAGGGCGATAAATTCTTAAGAACGATCAATATATATAATAAATTGAAAATGTTCTTTAAAGCCGGGACTTGGAATTCACCTTTTTTTTTTTTATTTTTTTTTTTTTTTCTCTTTTTAAAAATTCAATGATTTTCCATTTTTTTTTACCAAAAAAAAAACACAAAAACTCTTGGAGACTTTTTTAACCGAATCAAAAAAAAGGGTTCAATTAAAAAAAAAAATTTTTTTTCTTTTATTGTAGATAATAGATGGATGGATATAATTTTGCTTAAAAAGTAACTTGATTTATAATTAACGTTGTTAGAATCTCATATCAACTTACTAACTTATTTACTTATATATATATATATATATATATATATATATATATACCATTCCTAAATTACCCGCTTTTACTTGTTGTTAATACTTAAACTTTAAGACTTATTTCAATATTTTGGTTTACCCTCTCCTCACACTTATACACATACACATAATTAAACCTTGAGTTTTATTTATTTTTTTTAAAATCAAAGAAAAAAAAAAAAAAAAAAATTCAAAAATAATCATTCAAACTTTTGATAATCAACTGTTTCAAAATAATTCAATCAGACTTTCTTTAGAGAAAAAATATAAAAAAAAAAAAAAAAAATTACTTTAACTTATAATTAAAAGTAAATTAATTATTTTCTGAGAAACAAAAAAAAATAAAATAAAATAAAAGAAAAAAAATTATCACTCTTTTTTTTCTTTCATTTCTTTTCATATCCTGATTATCCTGATTATTATTATTATTTTTAAACCCCCCTTCCATCGAACCCTTTTAAAAATAAATATATATAAAACCCTTATAAGGGCTTCGCAAAGCTTTGCCATGTCGTAATACCCCTATTCATTGACCCTGTCACTTTTCTAGAAAGTGATAAATCATATAAATCATATAAATCCTGCTGCCAGGCAAACACTAATCATATATATATATATATATATATATATATATATATATAAACTGTTACTTCTCACAATATCCTACTTCGATACCGCCACTTTCCTTTTTTCTTTCTTTCTTTCTTTCTTTCTTTTTTTGGCTTCGGCTTTGGCTTTTCATGCCCGCCCACGTAACTGGCAATTTGCACACGTTGCTACTACAGTCTGGTGTCTTTGTTGCATTAACATTACGTGGTTGGCGCGTGCACTATCCTCGGTAACTTACCTGTCTTTGATTGCTTTTTTTTTTTTTTTTTTATCTATTTTGAGGAACGAACCAAATAAAAAAAATAAAAATAACAACATGCTGGCCTCTTGTCACGATCTTTCACAATTCACATGTTCGCTGTCAAATTCTTCTTTTATCAGACTCTTGTTTTCACCCCAGTAATCCTTTAATGACTATATAGTCTCTAGTTACCTGGTATGTCGCAGGTCAAATCCTCGTCTTGACATGTGTTTCACTTCTCCTACACTTTAGGTATTTCCTAAAAAATCTCTTTGTAAATCACATAATAATTTATTTTCCAATTGCAACTGTCCAGACCTCAAATAATTAATCTCCTTATTGGTGACAGTCCCATATATATATATATATATAATTCACCATCACTAAGTCATTTTACCTAGACCTTTTTTTTTTCTTTCAATCAAAAACATTTGGCAATTCAATATAAAAAATTCAATTGATCACTATATTCATTTTATTTGTAATTATGATTATAAATACCCTATATCATCATTCAAATGCATATTTCTTTTCTTGTGCTACATATATATATATATATATATATTTTCATTTACCTGTCTCAAAAAATAAAAAAACTATTAGAAAAAATCCAACCAGCACTCAATTGCCCCAATACCAATCAATTGAATTTTCAAAATCTTTATCAATTGAATATCAAAAGTACCTTTGAAAAAAAAAAATAAAATAAACTGCTTCTTATGAAATATACCCTCCTTACTGTGATCAGATTCTTATATCATCTAATTCCTTGATATCCTGCCAATTGGTATATGCCGTGCGGTTCCTTACCCTTTCTAATGGAAAAAAATCGACTGTATTTTAATGGTATCAACAACGCCTCGGTTCCAACTATTGATTTTTTTTTTTCTTTTTTTTTTCTTTGAAATAAACAATCCTACCAAACATTGGAAATGAAAAAAAAATGTAAATTTTATTAGCCTCTAAATTATACTTACTTTGCACTACACCAAGAATAAAAAAAGTAAAATATCAATAATAATTATTAAAAATAAAAAGTGTTTCTTCTTTTTTTTTTTCCTTTAACCATCTATCGTTTCACAGTTTACTATATAAAAAGTACCAAAGACTATCGTTTTTTTTACCCGTTTATCCAATTAACCACTAATTTTGTTCCTGACAAATGGGCTTTCGCAACCAGTGCATATATATATATATATATATAAATAAAATAAAATAAAATAAAATAAATAGAAAGACCCAATTATTGTCAAATAACCTAAACCCTGTTACCCCTCATTTTCAGCTCAAAGTTTGCACTGCTGGCCTCAATTGAATTGTCTCTTTTAAGCCCCTTTACTTACAATGGGTAAACTCTCTAGTGAGACTGTTTGACACAGTTGTAAAATAGTCCCACCCAAAATACTCAATAGCGTTTGTTAAGGGATTCTGAAGCTGCAAATAAATGTATTCAAGTCATAACAGAAACACTCTCGGCTAGAATGTATCTAACTATATATATACTAAAATAAGAAGTTTAATGAGACCTGTTAATGTCCCAATTGCATTGAATTGAATTGCAACAGATCAGCAATTTGTACCTACAGCACCAAGTTATATCCACGTACTTTTGTCGAGGCATGTTCCTTTTTAACAAATTGTGCTAGTGTTGCTTTAGATATACCAAAAAAAAAAAAGATATTTTTTCCTTTTCTTTTTTAGTTTTAAACCAAGGGAGGCAGTTTGATTTTACGCTAAATAAAATTCTATTTAAAGGTTTACTCTATTTTATTTTATTTTATTTTGTTTCTGAATAATCAATATTCAAAAGTTGATTCTTCAGAAATTATAGACAATTTCAATTATAAATACCATCTTTTTTTCTTTTTTTTTTCTGTCCTAAACTACCAATTTCTCTATTAACTATGACCTCATTATTAGGAAAAACTAACAATTGGCCGTCACCATCAAGTTCGGTGGCTACCATCGATACAATGAGCGACCCAGAAGAAATAGCTACCGTTGAAAAAAAATGTCCTGAAACAAATTTTTCTATAGAAACAATGGGTTTCCCCATCACTATTGGAATCTATTCCCTATTGAATCAAATTTGTAATATACCAACGTCCCTAAGAAAAAAACATCTTCTTTATTGGTTTTCTTTTTTGGACGAACCAGACATGCTTGTTGATTTTAAACAATTAAATAAAAACGATAAAAATTATGAACCTGAAGAATTATCAATTGATCCTTTAATTGATTTACAAAATTACTATATCGACACATGCAAGCTAATTATCAATGGCAAGTGCATACCAGAAAAACTGTATGATGATTTAAAAAAAATTCAAATTCAGAAATCACATATTATAAATTTGACATTTGATTTTGATTTTGATTTATTTACTTTTGCCGATAAATACTACACTTTTGCCTAATGATTAAGAGATTGGGACGAATTCCACCAAAACGGATTTTTATTTGAAACCTTCCAAAAAGATTTTGAACAACTTGTTGAGAAGTTTAAAGAATCAAATTATGGAAAAGTGTTTCTTTTTTTTGCTAAATTAACCTGGAGACACCGGCTCATTATTATGATCGTATGCTCGGGGGTTTTCAATGATGATTTAATGTTTGATCGCTCTAACATTGATACCAATGAAAAAACAGAAGTTGTATTGAATGTTTTAAACAAGGCATATGGGTTTTACTGTGGTAATAATCCATTAAAATCCATTCAATTTTCCCAAGCCTGGATAGGAAAATGTACTTTTTAGGATTCACTCCATTTTATGAAATCCCCGACAGACACTATAATTTCCCAGAAAATTCTATCCCCTATATTATTTCCCATTCAAAGGCTGTTCCAATTGTTGAAGACAAATATCGTAAAACGTACGGTCTTTGCATTACCTGTGGCAATCACAAAGCTTATAAGGGCTCCTCCTGTATTAAGTCTATAATATTTAATAATTAATTATTTTGAAGATATTAATTTATAGTTCATTATAGTTGTTAATAAATTATTCTTTTCAAATCTTAGTTTAATTTTTCAATTCTTTAGAAAGGAAAACATAAGATTAGTCTGTATCAACAATTTTAAATAATTATAAAAAACAAATTGTTTAATAAATTGTTTTAAGATAAATAAGAACTCAAGTGGACAATGTGAATACATGCCATTTATATTTACTTTTACTCAACATCTCCTTTCTTTCTAACCTATTTTTTGAAAAAAAAAATACCTTCTTCTGTTACCAAAATTTGTTTAACGTGCTCAAAAGTCTTGGTTAGTTAAAATCAGCAATCTCTAATAACTAAAATTTATTATTTGGATTTAGAAAACTGGGAGATTTAGATTTCTTCATCTCCCTAAATTTCTACCATTTAGTTAAAATTTTTACATCAATTCCTCTCTAAGAAAAAGAATCCCATATTTATTCACTTGAAGTTCAAACCAATCAACTGCAAGTTTGTACAAACAATACTTTGGCATTGCTCTATCCTCTAATAGCATCTACAAACTCAATAATTGTTAAGCAGTTACCAGAAGAAATAATTTTAATAACTCTAAAAACTATTTAAATTTTTTAATGACCTTATTCATTTTATTTATTTTTTTGTGAGATTTCTTGGGCAAAAAGAATTAAACCAGGTTTTGCATTAAGTCGATTTCTTTTTGGCTTATGTGTAGGGCTGACACATTCTTACTATATTAAAATCTAATAGCTAAACTTCAACCAGAAACCCAGTAAATCCAGTAAACTCAGTAAACTCCCGGTACAATTTTATGCTCGGAACTTTAAATATTTCTGGTGTCTTTAAGCGGTCCCTGAAAGCCCAATAGAAAAAAAAAAAAAAACTAAACACCATTGTTCTGGCATAAATTGAAACTGTTACTCTTTATTACATAGTTTTTAAATAATTTGAATCAACATTAATTTTAATGTTAAAACTTGATTATAATCAAGTTTTCAGTAGGCCGGGACGTTAGCCCACATGAATTAAGTGTCAATTCAGATAGAATTGAAATTACAAATTAATGTTAAGAATAAAAAAAAAAGATTGAAAAAAAAAAAATATTAGGGTTCAAAGCTAAAAAAACATCCAAACCTCATTAATTGTCAAAGGTACCGAAAGTTAAAGATCTGGGGTCTTACCAAGCTCCAAGGTTAGAGTTAACTTTTCAAATTCATGGTTTTGTAGAGTTATTATTCTGCCAACAAATAACGTTGGATAAATCTTTTGTTAATACTCAGAAAAAAAAAACTATTTTTATTTTTACAAGTTTTGACATAAATGTTAAAACTCATCAAATGATGATCATCATGAATCGATTCATTTTCTACCACATTAGAAACCGGTCAAAGATAAGGGGGAAAAAAATTCCACTTCATTAAATTGGAAATCAAAACATGATTTTATATTTCTGTTCTTTATACTCTGCAATTTTCCAAAACCAAAATCATTCTTATAAAGATAATGAGCATTGCAAGAAAAAAAAAGTATGTATCAAATGTGCAAATTTTATTCAAAATAATGGAAATTTTTGTTCAAATTCAATTTTCAGCAACAGATCTTATAACAGATTACTACCTTGTTCACTATAAATCATTATAAAAAAAATATAAAGCAAAATTTGTTCTTTTTGTTATTTTTGTTCTACTTCTCTCATGTTAAAAAACTCATTTCTGTAAAGTCAAACTGCTTTGCTTCTCCGAATTTGAACAACTCGCCTTGGTTTTTGACGGAGAAATATAGTTCCTAAACGCCGGTATAGTTATGTTTAAAGCCTCTAGAAATCGAAAATGAATTGTTGTGAGCTCTGTATTAACGTCTTTTTTCCCTGCAAGCCAGCGATACACCGAATGATCTGAAATAACAGAAATCATTATAAATGTAAAACTAGGAATACAATCACAAAGCTTCTTAAAAACTATTTGGTAATCTTGAGGGGCCAACCCAAACCGCTTTTCAGCAGCCTTAATAAGAACCCTAACTTGTAAAATCCCATCCGCAATATCATTTCCGTTCGCTGAAAATGAATCGTCCAAATTGTAAAATGAAAGAATCTTGTCCAATACTTCATAAAAGGTTGATCTTGTAACCAAAAAATTGGGGAAAGAATACCTTGCTTTTAATATTTTCTTCAAATCATCCCAATCGGCTACGGATTCCAGATTAAGCCACTTCCAAATTTCCAAATTGATACATCTTTTTGATTCATTAACCCATTCACTTATTGGAATATTTGCTCTGGTTGCTTCATTTTCAAAACTTTCCAAAAAAAACCTAACATCAGTACCATCAAATGTCAATAAAGAATTAGCTGTGACCGATTGTGCCAAATCAAAAACACCATTTTGAGTCACATTTAAAAAGTTTGCACTTTCTTGATTACTTGAAAGTAAGTGAGAGCAAAAATTATTAGACTGATTATTTTGTTGAACCCCACTTGGAGTAAAAAAATTATTGAATTGCTGACAAGAGCCAAAAATCTGTTGGTCAGAAAAGATATTTGAATTAGGTATACCATAAATGAATCCTTGTAAACTTTCATTAGAATTAGTATTCATGTTAATAAATGGAATATTATGGCTTTGAATATTGTTAGAGAATGACTGTAAAGCAAGAGGTCCAACGCGATTAGGGTTCATGTTGTATTGAAACAAGGCAGTGTTTTGACCGTAAATAAATTCTGTGGTATTGAAAGCAATGTTTCTAAAAGCAGTAGAATAAACACTAGGAGAAACAGTAAACCCAGTAGTTGAATTAACAACCACTGGAAAATAATATGGCATAACATGGCTCATTTGGTTTAAGGTAATAGGGTATATGTTAGGCTGGGAACCAGAAACAAACGAAGTGTTATATTGGTTAATCTGAACATCCTCCATCACAGAAGCAGCAGAAACAGAATTTAAACTATTCCTGTATATATTTAGACTATCATTGGTGATGGGATTGAAGTTTCTGTTTCCATTAATCAATAGTAAAGCACTATCAGATGACTGACTGGTAGAAATTGAGAAATCAGTCACTGATTCAGAGTTAAGGGCAACATTACTGGCTCGACTGACAGGTTCAATTTTGTTTGCAGTAAGCATTACAACTTAATAAACCGCAGAAAGTCTCTTATAATACTAAAATAAAGCAAAAAATATTATGGATAGGTTATTATTAATTCAAAAAACAATTCAAAGCATACACAGTTCAAAACAAACCCAAAAAATATATATATAATCAGCTTGATGAAAGAACGACAAAGTATTAAAAAAAATATGTTAAATTTTATCTTAAAAATTGAACTTGAGTTGTCTTTATATAATTAAAAATTACATATTGTTTTCAATTCTCAAGCGATCGATTGCATGAGGTTCACAAATCCAGGGATCTAGATCCACTCTTAAAAATGCAACTGTTCAATAAAGCTAGACGATTCATGTAATAATATCATGCCATCTTATGCATAATAATGTAAATTTTTCAATATTTAAATGAATCAGGTAAGTGCTGATGGGCATAGCATAGCAATTTGGTACATATAACGATATTAAATGGTAATGGGAATGAAGGAAATCCGGTATACAAAAGGAAGTTCCCAAAAAATTGTTACCGGATTTTATTCAGAAATCACGTGATTTAACTTACTATTATTAAATAAACTTTAAAGTTGATTTTAACAAAATTTTGTTAAAATCTATTTTATAACAAAGATACATGACAAAAAAAAAAAAACTACAACAGAAACTTGACTTTACAAAATTTAACTTTCACAGCAACCTCATATCATGAGTATGATCAATTCCAAGGAATAAATAAACAAAAAAAGATAAAGATAAGTAAAAATTACTCCGACACGGGGAATCGAACCCCGATTTCCACGGTGAGAGCGTGAGGTGATAACCATTACACTATATCGGATTTATTGTTAAATTTACAAACCTGTATAGTTTTATTCTGATTATATTGAAAATAGGTTTCCATTAGTTTATTAGAACATAGCTTTGAGGGGAAAGGGCTGGATGGTGTAAAGGGTAACACGTTCGCTCGATAGCGGAAGATACTGGGTTCGATTCCCAGAATACCCCCTTTTTCCTGAGGATGTGTACGGGAGTATACACCTAGACTGAAAACCATAGGCTACCCTGGTTACAGGAATGCCGACTCTTCCGTACAGTCTAAATAGCCTGCAGGTGATTGCGGGCCGTATCTCTGACGGAAGAGATTAAGAAATACATGGGCGTCCGTGAAGATAAGTGGAAATGGGTTGGGAAGGTTTTGGGACCGACAGACTGGTTCTCCCTGTTCCTCGTAAGCTGGCATCAGGGCCCATCTTCCGGGCTACCGGAGACGCACAGAACAGAAACCACCCGTACTAAAAAGGTACAAATGAAAACCGGCAAGTCACATAGTCAGACAATAAAAGGATAGCGCAGATGCTGATGTTATATAGTTTTATAACCCTTGAATAAAAACAAACAAACAAACGAACATAGCTTTGAAGGATCTTGAGTAATATTACTCAATTTTGCACGGGCCATGGCAACTTTGGCGCATGGTTTAAAAAGTTTGGAATTGAAAAGGATAGTTACAACTGCAAATGTGGAGAGCTGGAAACAGTTCATCACATTTTAGTTGAGTGTCCTTTGCTTGAAGAGGAAAGAAAAGGACTGAAACGGATATCTCCAGAGATGGACATGTCGACTCTCTTAAACAGTTTAACTGGCTTACAAGAGATTGTAAGCTTTATCTCTGCTTGGAGGGATTAAGAAATACAATTACAGCGTTGATGAAGACAAGTGGAGATAGGTTGGGAAGGTTTGGTTATTTTTAACCCCCTGTTCCTCGTAAGCAGGCATCAGGACTTATTTTCGGGCTGTTGGAGATGCAATGTTGAAGCCAAAATTAAAAGTTTATTATTAAAATGAAAAGATATATAGTATGGACAAGAAGGATAGCGCAGATGCTGATGTTATATAATTCTATAACCCTTGAATAAAAACAAACAAACAAACAGAACATAGCTTGTTTGGCCTATAAGTTCAAAAGTTTTAAATTAAAAAAATAGTTAAAATTGCAAGTGTGGAGATTTGGAAATAGTTAGACGAATTTTAGATGGAATGACACCAGAACTACTAAAAACAAAAACAAAAGTAATAATTTAAGTGAATAACCCGTTTCAAAATAATTTATTTACAAATATAACTGATATAAAACTAACAATAGCAGTTATAAAAGGTTGCAATTGGTTCTCATAATTCTATTATTATTGTCAGATCACAAATGGTGGTTTGTTTAAGCAAAGATGAGAGGAAAGTTTTATCTTTTGACTAATCGGGAAAAGAAAATTGAAATTAGTTATTTAATAATAACTATATATAAAGCATTTGTTCTAAGCTTGAATCTATAACAACACTTTTTAATTTTCTTCTTAGCTTGAAACGTGAAATTAGTTTAAATGTTATAAGCAAAATCCTTTTTATAAAAAATTTTTCCTTAATAATATTATGAGCTGTCTCTCTCAGACTAGATTGTTTTTGAACTTTCTGTTTTGAATTTTGTATATGGACACATATTTGCTACTCTTGAGGATTTTTTTTTTTTTTTGATATAAGGCAATTCTTCCTCCAATCATTGATAATGCTGATATCTTTTTTTCCAGATTTAATAGTAGCAGAACATCTATTATTAGATTTTTATATTATAAACTCAGTTACGACATAAGTATAAACTCATAGTTATAAGATTGACTCAATTCAATTAATATTAGTTTGCATCTTACTTTTGTTTTTCAAAAAATAAAAAATAAAATTTGGGTGAAAGCGATGACTACATCTAAAGTTTAGGCTTTTCGACTAACTTTGTTTAATTTTTTTTCTTTCCTTTTTATTTCCATTGGATTGTATTTTTTTTTTTTTTAGAAAATCTCATTTAGTTATGGTTGTTAGACACAACTGCCTTGAGACCTTCAGCAAGAACTGAATCATATTCAACCTTATGTTGGTCAGCCCACTCGTGTAAAACACGATATCCCAATGCCGCAGCTTCTTGTAGAGTTGAGAACATATGCAGCGGAACAAAGTAAGGGTCATCCATAGGTCGCAGACCTCCAGTGTGTCGTGGACGACGCCCCAACCCAGACGATGATGGACCCTCAATCTTAGACTCCCTTGCAGCCCATGTCTCTGGGAATTGTATCCGTAATGTTTCCATGTCAAGATCACGAAGCCCGCGTCGAAAGTCGGCTGACGCCTCTTGTTGTTCTTTGAAAAACTTTGACATAAGAGTTTCCATATCACGGAGTTTCTGACCTTCGTCCATAGGAGTGACCCCGCCATTACTACTGCTGCTATTCATCGAACCATCGGGACTTCCAGCACGCGATGCACCCACTGGTGTATTTTTCAGTCTCAGAAGTAGTTCTTCGTAACATTGCGCAATGCGCATATGAATCATGGCACGAATTTGATAGCACAGGCCAACCAGGCTGCGTGCGCTTATATCTATTTCCATCGAGCTGTTGTTGCCGGAACCTTCATGATCGAGAACACCAACAATCCATGCTACAAAGGGAATTAATGACATCCAGTCCTGAGTTTGACGCGTGCGGCGCAACACCTGATCGGCCTTGTCCTGGTAATCAAAGGCAACAATGTAACCAAGTAGAGAATCAATGGCACAAACTGCAGCACGGCCCGGTACACCATTGCCTTTAGTATGTAATTCGTCAGCAAGATGTTTCCGCTCACGAGCCAAGTGCCGCCACCGCCCAGCTTTTGTCTGCAGTAGCTTACTATTGTTTGCACGCAACTCTGGCGTCATGATATGTCCACCTGATGTTGACATGGCGCGGCCATGATGTGGTGTTGGAGCTTGATTCTGTGTTACTTCTGGCGAGGCCGTTGAGCCAACGCTAGGAGCAGGTCCACGAGATTTACGTGGGGAATCAGCAGTATGTGTGGAAGATAATGATTGAGATGATTGAGATGAAGAAATAGGACGCTTAGCATTGTTGGATTTTTTCGATGAATGTTCTTCAGAATCGGAGTCCGAGTAATCTCTAGAAATGCGAGTCTTTTTTGGTGGTGCATTTTGTGCAGTAGCATCTGATGGTCGTTTTTTAGTTTTGGGTGTCAATGAGGTAGTAGAAGTAGTAGTGGTAGTGGTAGTGGTAGTGGAACTTGCAGTACTTGTTGTGGCAGAAGAAGAGACCGGAGTATTTAAGCGTTTCTTTTCATGCGAAGAAGTAGTATTATTATTGTTGGTAGTAGTAGCGGTAGCGTTTGAATCCTTGTCTAGTTTTTCTTTCGCATTAACCTTGAGTGATACAATGAGTGAGTTGCGACGACGGCTTCGAGGCCTTTCTGATTCAATACCAGGGCTTGGAGAGCGCGACACAGGTGATTCGCCAAAAACTTCGCTATATTCGACGTTTTTGCTATTGTTACTATGGCTGCTTGGTTCAGATTCAGCATCAGATTCATCATAGTTTGCAAGTTGTGATTTTTTTTGCTTAACTCGGGGCTTTGTGCTCAAAATTTCAGGGGATGTAGGAGTATTATTTTTCACGTCTTCATCTTGACTTGGACGTATAGGTTGTTGTGATTTTAAAATTTCATCGCACCATTCTGGAAGGGTTGGTGAAAGCATGGGCGGAAGTATCAGTGGAGAGGAGGGAGCTGAGGATGGGGTTGCGGAAATTCCAGGTGAAACCGGATCCTTTAGTTTCTTAATAGGCTTGTCGCGTGTAGATAAATTGTTGGATGTGCCTCCACTGCTGCTGCTATTAGCGCTAATATTACTATTATTACTGTTATTACTATTATTACTATTATTACTGTTATTGCTGTTATTGCTGTTATTGCTGCTAGTAGTACTTCCGACGCTGCCGCTACTGTTATTACTGCTGCTACTGCTGTTGCTTCCAGAAGACTTAGGGGTATCTTTTTTGGTAGTGTTAGAGTCTTTATTATTTCTAGAAGGTAACAAAGGTGAAGAGGTAGTTGGGTTACGTTTAGCCATGGAAAAAATTGCAGATTGCTTGTTTGAAGAAGTTATAGATGATGACGATGATGATGATGATGATGATGATGAGGAAGTGGGGGAAGGAGTGGTAGTAGGAATGGATTGAGATGATTGAGTTTTCTGAGAAAGCTTTTTATGTCGAGCAGATGTAAAGAAAACTTTTGCTTCGCGTTGTTTGATATGATGCAACGGCTTAGAGGTATTATTACTAGAATTAGTATTTTCATCCACAAGTGACGACGATGTGGTTGTGGGTTTGGTAGTCATAAAAGAAAGAGAGTCTTTTGTCTCCTTGGACGCAGCATTAGGTGACGATGTTGCAGATGATGATGAAGAGGTTGCTTTAAAAAACTTTGAAAAAGTTGAGCCTCCGGATGGCCTTGCAGGGCCTGGTAACGCCGGAGACTTCTGGCGACTAGATTTTGAGACGGAAGATGGGGCTGTTGATGGACCTAGTGGCAAAGGTAAAGATGCAGACTGATTTGACACCGGGGCGTGAGCCGGGGCCGGCGACTCCGAGCGATGTCGGCGCTTGACTGGGTTGTGGTTAATGGTGGATGAGGAGTTTGTAGAAGAGGGGTGATTGTGATTGTTGTTCTCGTTTGAGGAGCGGGATGAGGAACGCGAAAGTGGTCGAGAAGATGGAGTAGGAAGCTGTTGTTGCTGTTGTTGTTGCTGCTGCTGCTGCTGCTGTTGTTGAGTTCCACGATTGTTGTGGTGCGGTGCTGAAGATTTTTTGGCCCGTGCTGAGGACGGGGAAGTGTTTGGGCGACTAGATGAAGAGTGGTCTGTCGGTGCTGGTGAGGAGACTGGCGAGAGGGCAGATGGTGGAAGGTAAGAGACGTATTCTCTATTATTTGGGTCTTCCTGAGGGTCGATGGCGAGTTTAGAGCTGAGGTTAAAAATGCGAACGTCCAAATCTTCCATGGATGTGATTGATGATGACAATATTATTAACAGTCAAGATGGTGGTATTGTGTGTGGGTTGTATCAGTTTTACTGATGGTTGATATTACTGGTTAAAGATGGGTTTTGTCAAAGAAAATTCCAGTTGTTTTAAAGGCTAGCAAAGGTAAAAACAGATCTCAAAACAACATAAAATATTAAAGAGAAACAAAAATTAACAAGATATCTAGAAAGACCTGATTTGTCGGGAGAATTTAAATATATATGAAAAGTAAAAAAAAAAAAAAAAAAAAAGTAATGTGAATAGGGTTATAATAAGTGTTAAAGGGGGGGGGGGAAAAAATTAGATTTCAAAGGTGATTTTCGTAAAAGTGCTGTGGTTATGATGCGTATGAACATATATAGAGTAAGTCTCTTATTTAGGACGAAGAAATTCTAGGCGTTTGGAATTTTTGTTTAATTTTTTTTTTTTTTTGAATTTTTAATTTTTAATTATTAATTTTGAGAAGGGAATCAGCCTTCAATGAGAGCGCGTGTTTGTGAATTATATGATAATTGATGCGTGCAGTATATAAATATAGTGATTCTGTGCGTTTTTTCTGTAGTGAAAGTCCGGGTTATTACCCCCTCTGTAAAAGCATTTAACTGCAAATTTGTTTGTGAAATTCTTGAGAATTTAGTTGACTTGAAAGTAAAAAAAAAAAAAAAAAAAAAAAAAAATTATTACCTTTGTTATTACAGTTGAGAAATAGAAAAAAAAAATTAAAAAAAAAACCCAGGTTGGCGATGCGTGACCGGAGGTTTTGGCTTGAAAGGGGCGGCGGCGGCTGAAAGAGAAAAAAAAAATCGATAGGCATAGAAATTGGTCACGTGTAAATAGTGGGGAAGGGTTAGGTTGCACTGTTACATTACACTTTTATGGTGTTACATATAGTATTACATAATTTGTTACAATTATAGTAATAAATTATGTTACACCTTTGTCAGCTTCTCCCTGTTACTGCCTTTTGAATTCCTCCGTCTCCACGCCCATCAAAAAATATCACCAACCCCGAAATTCTCTAAATTTGTTTTTTTTTTTTTTTTTTTTTTTTACTATCTTCAACAAAACACAATCTATAAAATCCCTATTAAAAAAAAAATTAAAATAAAATAAAAAACCTTTAAATTTTATAAAACAAGTCTTTCTAATACTTTCAATTAATTATTTCGTACTTATTTGCTTTTCTAATCAAGAATATTTTCACAGACAGTCACGTAGTATACGTTTTCAAGGGTATTTTTGTCAACCCGCTCTCCCACACTGAATGATTCATTCATTCACTGACTGACTCATAGTTTTTTTTTTTTTTTTTTTTTTTTCTTTATCAAAATAAACAAAATAAATATAACCTGATTGTATCCCTTTGATTTATTTCTTTTTTTTTTTTCCTTCTTCTTCTTCTTCTTCTTCTTCTTCCCTTTTTTTTCCCTCTTTTCTTTTTTTTTAGGCTTCTTCTCATCTTCATCGCTAAATGGCTTCGCCGCCCGTCTCACCAGCCTCGTCCGGGTCCCCACCGGGGTCCCCACCCCTCAGAATTGCTTACCTCCACGCTGATATTCTCAGCGCGCCTCCCCGATCAGTAATTGCCCATGCGTGCAATTGCTACGGCTCTTGGGGTGGTGGTGTCGCTGCTCTATTCAAGCGCCGTTTCCCTGCCGCTTACACTGCCTACGCAAACCATTGTCGTGCTGCAGCCGCAGACCCATCATCTCTCTTGGGAACCTGCTTTCTGATTCACAACAAGGCCACAGATCCTGGTGGTGACTACTGGATCGCGTGTCTCTTCACTGCATTGTTTCCTGGAACTCCTGCATCAGATGGCTCTGGCTCAGTGGAAGAGTCTATTCTCAAAGAGACGCGTGCAGCCATAAAAGATTTATTGCGACAACTGCATACCCATGAGTATATATCCACATTACTTCCTGGTGATGAGTATGTGCCGGTTGTTCACATGCCCCAAATCAATGCAGGTATATTTAACGTCCCCTGGCCTCTTACCGAAGCCGTCTTAAAATCATTCCCTTATAGATTCAACGTGTATGTCTATCCCTGATTTTTAGAGAAACATTAATAATAAGATTAAACATTAGAATAATTTGTCAAAAACAAAAAAAAATAAAATAAAACAAAAACAAATATGTCCTTTTTTTTTTAAAATACCCGATCAATAAAACTACTGCTTGCCGTAAAAGAAAAGCCTTTGAAAGGGTGGTTTCCAGGCTCTCCGTGGTTATCGCCAATACCTGGGCCAACATCATTGCCCGAATTCAAATTCAGGACTGCTAGATTGTCTCGGGATCCACGGGCCGATGCAATGGGAATGGCCATAGGAGAGTCATGGCTAGGAGGCGACAAAGGCATCTCTGTAAACTCCTTGGAAAAGTTTTCTGCAAGCTCAGGGTCCGTAATGAGTGGGACAATAGGTGGGACAATTGACTTATCACGACGTTCCAACTTTTCCCAGTCAATTGCACTAAAAAATGAATGCTTTTTGATATAATCGATATCTTTGTACCCCATGCGCTTCTTGGGATCACGCGTCAAAAAGCGTGAAATCAAGTGCTGCGCGTCACGAGTCAAGTAAAATGGAAAGTCAATGCGCTTAGTTCTCCAAATCTTTTGTAAAATCGACTTGTAATCGTTCCCTGGGAAAGGTGGATTCCCTGTAAGCAAGTCATAGGCAACAGCTCCAAGAGACCACCAGTCAACAGCATAATCATACTCTTCACCCTGCAAAATCTCAGGTGCCATGTACTCTGGTGTTCCAAGAATCGTCTTACAGCTTGAATCAGAATCAGTGGCCACCTTACTCAATCCAAAATCAGTCAACACCAAATGACCCTCTTTGTCAAGAAGACAATTCTCAGGCTTCAAGTCGCGGTACACAACACCAACGTTAACGTGAAGGTGGTACAAAGCCAAAATCATCTCTGCCAGATAAAATGCAACCGTGTCCTCAGATAGCATGACTTGGTTAGCCAGGTAAGTAAACAGTTCACCACCCTGTGCATACTCTAAAATCAGATAAAGTTTTTCATGGTCTTGCATAGCATAAAATAGTCGCACAATATATGGGTGTCGCACCGATTCAAGAATGTCGCGCTCAGTCATGGTTTGAAGAATATGCTTTTTTTCCACAACCATAGACGCCTTCTTGAGCTGTTTCTGAGCAAACAAGCGGCCAGTTTTGCGTTCACGTACAAGCAGTACTTTACCATAAGTGCCTTGGCCCAAAACCTTGAGCTGCTGAAAGTCGGCTGGAGTCATTTTCCGCGGCTTTTCATCTTCAGGTTCATCAAAAACAACATGCTTTTCAGTCTCTTCTTCTTTATGAAGCTTATCAAGACTCTGTGCAAAACTGGAAACAAAAGGGCTTCTAATACCAATCTCCAGAGACTGACCCAAACGTCCATCTGCAGATCCAGGTTGGAAGCTAGCTGATAGCCGGCGGCTAACATTGCTAATAGAAATAGGACGCGTAACTCCATCCATATTGAGTTCGGTAATGGTATCACATAGCTCGTTCAGATCGGTTGAGCTGTTGTTGGGCAACATTGATGAAGAGTGGGTAGAGACGGGTCGAACGTCGTCATCTTCAAACTCGAAAATATCAGCCATATTGAAATGTTAAAAAAAAATTGAATATATATATAAAAAAAATGTAAAATAGTAAATAATTATAATAAGAGCTGTTAAACAAACGTAACGATAAAAAAAATTAAAGCTTGAAGTTTCAGTAAAATTAGAGGGAAAAAAAAACTTGGATAAGCAAATATACAGGCTGAATGAAATGGCCAGAAGAGCGATTTCAAATTTTAAAAAGAGACGAGAAGAGAAGATGAGATGAAAATTTTAGGCTTGAACTTATTCATTTGGAACTGGGTATTTCAACTAAATAATCCTCTCTGGTGGGAGTTTTTTTTTAATAAAAAAAAAAAAGTCTTGTTTTTTTTTTGATGGCAGGAAAGGAAAAAAAAAAAAAAGGTTTGTAAATCGAGGGGGAAAGGCCCAGGATGCCCACGGCTTTTTAAACCAAAAATTTTCCGCCAATCCTCACACCTTCAATTGTCTGTTCCGATCTATGCCACGTGAATTACCCTTACCCATAGTGCGGCTTGCGGCTTTGCTCCGAGATAAGCCTCTTTTGCTAGCAGATTGTGATCACATCGGGACACCATCGGGTCTTTCAAATTCTGCCAATAACTTATTGTTTCCTTAGGATCAAAGATCGTCCAAAAAAATCCAATTAAAAAAGGCAAATTTCACTCTTCTGTGACTCCAGATTCATATCCATATCCTCCAAAAACAAGATTGTTGCTGCCTTTTTCATTTCGTGAAACTTCAGCCACAGGACCTCGCCCTCCAGCCACTGCATACCCAAGAATCATGGCTTCAGTCGTATGTGCAAACCCAATTTCAACTGCTCCAGGACCAGAAACAAATGCAGTCAATACTCCAAAATATAACCGGGGCCCACGCTGAAAGGATTCGGCCTCTGCAGATTCTGGTTGTATCAAGTTTTTCTCTAGCCATGCTGCATTAACCCCATCAGGCCCAGCTGTGCATAATCGATCACATACAACTCGTGCAGCTTGAACAGTCATAATGTCTTCACCAGTACCACTGGTGCATGCAGCAGCAGTCACTGTGCCCGGTCCACGGCCTGCGTAGACACCGGCCCCTACAATTCCAGCAGGTCCTACACGGCCTGCAACCTTGAGTGCAATGCCTCCAGAACTTGCACAAGTAACAACATTCCCTAAAACGTCTCCACAAATAACTCCAACTGTATCCTGAACACCCTCAGTCTTCCGTAGATACCGTTTAAGCTCTAAATACTCGCGCAAACTTCGATCTGTTACAAGATCGGCTTCATCTGTCACGAGTAGGCATCCATGTTGGGCAGCATATTTGTCAGCACCAGCACCCACAAGTAGCGCAGGACGTACACGACCCAATGGATCCTTGATGCGGGCGGGATCAATCAGGTCCCGGAGCATTTCGCCACAGACTTCTACCGCGTTGCGAGCATGTCTGACGGCTCCAACTGCTGCAGATTTCCCTCTGTTATCCATTATACATGCATCACATTCAACCTGACCTTCCTCGTTTAACTGGGCTCCAAATCCGGCATTGGTATATGGAGAGTCCTCTAGCAGCGAACAAGCCCTCACGGCAACATCTAACGCATTGGCACCTGTGTTAAGCTGAGCCAAACCTGACGAGCACACTGACTTGCATAACTTCTTTAAATGTTTTTCACTGGCTGAGCCATGATTTCCAGCACCTACATGCAGCGCAATGAATACAGCATGCTGGGGACTCTGCATTGTGTGTAGTGTTTGTCTTTGGTATGAGACAATGTATCGACCAAAATGTCTTTTGGTGTATATAGTTAGAGAGATTACCCGGCCTTGTTTCGCTACACCACTCATTTTTAAAAAAAAATTCTCCACCTCTCAATAGTTTCTCTTCTATTCCAATTCCAAATTAGCTGTTTATTCATATTTATGTCTGCTTTCTCTAGGTAAAATATTGTTAAGAAATCTTGACAGAATATAACACTAGATATTTTGTAATTTATTTTATTTGTTTTATTACTTTATTTGTAAAATTTTTTTCTAGGGTTTTTTTTTTTATTTAAATATGTCCTCCATACCTCCCCGGCGTCAAAAAACAGGTCGTAAGTAATCTTTGCACGTTTTGATCAAATAATCGGTACTAACAATCAATAGGTGCTTTCACCGCTGTAACACCCAAGCAAACCCTATCTCGGCCCACTCCACTTTCTACATCTTCCGCATCTACTGACCTTTCGCATGATCAATCACCAACAACAGCATCCAATACTACAAATAACAATAGTGACACTAGCAATAGTAAAGAACCAACCAATTGGCCTGAATCTTTAAAACGGTTTATAAGCCGCTCGTTTGACGAAGCACTGCCAGAGGACCGTGACGTTTTTAACTCACAGCTGCGTGAAATCATCACCAAGGCTCATGAATTAGGTACAACATGGACAACTGCCTGGGACAATATTACATTGCCAATTATCCAACAAAGGAGGCAAGAACGCCTCAAAAAGGCTGCTAAAGAACATACACAAAAACCTATAAAAGATACCCAAGGGCATTCTTCTACTAAAAATAACAAGTGAGTTTGTAACAGTTTTTGAAAAAAAATTGCACTTACTAACATTTTTAGACGTAATTTATTTAAGTTAGACGAATCGGAGAGCATGAGGGCTAAGCGACTAAAGAGGTTTGAAACGTCAAAAGTTAATAATAACAATAATCATCATCATCATCATAATAATAATAAGTATGACAGTAGTCCGTATAACAGCTACCCTGGATATGATATGCCCTCCGAAAATGTAAACCCAAATGAGCCCATTGTGGGCCGTTCAACACAATTAGAAAAACGTTATCTACGGTTAACTTCTGCAGCTGACCCCAACACAGTGCGACCATTACATATTTTAAAGCAGACGCTAGAGTTGTTAAAAAGGAAGTGGCAGCAAGAAGAAAATTATTCGTATATTTGTGACCAATTTAAGTCGTTGCGACAGGACCTGACAGTCCAGCACATTCAAAATGAATTTACAGTTACAGTTTATGAGATTCATGCGCGGATTGCACTAGAAAACCGCGACTTAGGCGAGTACAACCAATGTCAAAGTCAGCTTAAAACACTTTATGAAAAGGGGATACCCGGAAATGAGGATGAATTTTTCGCGTATCGCATTTTGTACATTCTCTACACGCGTAACCGTTCCGACATGAATAATATTTATTTCCAGCTAGAAACAGTGCGTAACCCGAAAACTGGGGCGCTTCCCAAGGTAGTACAACACGCGTTAGATGTGAACCAAGCGCTTTCGTCACGTAACTACCACAAGCTGTTTAAGCTTTACACAGCAGCGCCCAACATGGGGCCTTATATTATGGACATGTTTGTTGAGCGCGAGCGGTTTTCGGCGCTGTCAGTGATGACAAAGGCGTTCCGTCCGGAAGTGGCACTTGACTATGTGATTAATGAGTTGGGATTTGAGAATGGTGAGGACTTTGCAAAGTTTGTTCAACAGGCTGGGCTGTCAAATTGTATTGTGATTCGGGAAGAAACTATACAAAACAGTACTACTAGTAGTGAAAAGAAGGATGATGATGATGATGATGATGATGATGATGATGATGATGATGCATTACCACCACAAATGAATAAGAAGGTATTTTTGAATTCAAAAGAAGCATACCCAATAGTAGAGCAGCTGAGAGCTGATGCATTTAAAAAGGTGGATATTAAAGGACAAATATGAATATTGTTTTTTTTTTTTCTTGATTTTTTTTTCTCTGCACATGATGTACGATTACTATAGATAGATCAACAAGAATTAAATCAAGAACCAATTTCCACGTCCCATGACAAATAATGATAATCTTCCACATGCTCAAGAATGTCATTAGAAAGTACAATATTATCATGAACGTGGATACGGTTTGCAATATATCTCTGGGCAAACAATACAGTGGGGTTGGTGTAATAATTGTTGCTATCAATGAACTTTGAGGGGAAAGGCGAGAGGCGCTTAAAAGAAAACTCTGAGAGCAAATCAGCAATACGATTGGCATACATTTCTGGTGGAGCCTCTGAGCCATCCCACATCTTGTGCTGCAAATTGAAGCAGCCTGCAATAATGATTTCTTTGGATTCTGAGTGTTCGCGCAAAAGATCCTGAAGGGCCTCGAAGAGCTCGCGTGCAGCCAAGTCTGAGGGACGATCGATTTGGATAAGTAGAAAATCAGCAATAAAATAAGAGTTAATAAAGGGCTTGTAGGTATTGGTAATGGCAACAGCAGGCTGGTATGGTCTGCGCGATGCGTAAAGGGCCATACGGGTACCACCTTGTTCGTAAAAGTACTGCTCATAAAAGTGCATCCATTCTTGGCGCTCAAGTGGTCGGCCATCAGAATGCTTCCAGCACCCCTCTGTCATAACAATGTGAGCCTGATACATAGTTTCAAAAAGAATTTCATGATTAACTTGCAAATCAAATTTGCAATTAGTTTGAAACACTCGCAGTTTTTTGTCATGGTTTCTGAGGTCTGCCAGTGGGCGGCCATTTTTGAAATCTTTTCCGTGAGCCTTAAACTTGTCACAGTTGTACCACTCATCAGGGAAAATGCGGAGCTTAGCACGCTGACCTTCAAAGTAAAAGGCACGCATAAAGTATGCTGCATCGCGCTCTTCTACTGTCGAAAAGGAAATTTTGGCAATTCCCTTGTCTTCATAAGAACCCATAAGCTCTGGTGTGCGAGCAAGTTTCAATCCAAATCCTTCAATAGTTTTTCGGAGCTCCCCGCCAGTATATTGTTTGCCAGTTGCTTCGTTCAAAGGCACGCCATGAATTGACAAAAAGAGCCAGTCAGAGCAGTCAATAGGCTCGATACTAATGGGAATTGCACGGGCGATTTCCAAATCATGGAAGGTAATATTTGGAGCAAATGAAAGTCTAATGTTACCGCGCTTAGTGACGGCACCTGAAGAGATTAAGATTCCATTTGAGCGTGCTGAATTAATTTTCATTATAAGTTTTTCAACAAGTTTGTTTGAATAAGCTCCCACTTGGCCTTTGATCTTGACAACAAGGAAGCCTTGCTGTTGGTCACGCTTGATATGCCATGGCAAATTGCGAGAAGTCGAAGCAGTAGTTGTAGCTGCAAGGGTCCGGCCGGCAGACGTTGTGGATGCACTCGACATGTCCTGTGCTGTGATAGACGCTGCTGCAATTGCTACCGACTCGTGCTGGGTCATTGCTGATTGTGCAGTGGGAGGACGGTTCAAGGTAGGATGGTGTAGTGGTGGGGTTGGCGCACTGGTGACACCATTAACTCTGCTGGTTGAAGCAGAAGGGGTGTTGGAACTTGCAGTGCCTGTGGGGATTGCTCGGGCGATTTCCGGGGTAGATGGAACAGAAGATTTTAGTGCCATGTTGGTATCTCCAGTGGTAGGACGCAGTTTAAAAGTATGATTATTTGCATGCTCGTTTTCCGAGAGTTTATGAGCAAATGTTTCCCCAAACTCTTCTTGTTGAGCAAGGTGATTATTAAGAGATGCAGTATTGTGAGATCTATCGCCATTGGAATTGACGAAATTGCTAGGCGTAAGTCTGCCTTCAGCATGTGGATCAACCAGTGAAATGTTTGACATTCGAGACTCAATGTCCCAATGATCCATATTGTCTGTGGTATTTGATTGATTTATAAAAGTTTCATCGAGAACGTGTAGATCTTTGGGGTTCTGGTAGTACTGTGTTTCAAGATCGTAAAGCTGGAGACGGATTTTGTGAGAAGCTGCATGGGCCGCTTGAATATCGGCTTCCTTTTGAGCAAGCATGAATTCAATTTCATCAAGTTTTTCATTTAACTGTCGAAATATTTCAGTATCATACTTGCGCTGTAATAAAGCTCGGTATTCTGTAAAGGATTGTGATACATCACGGAATGTGAGGTTAGTGAATAATGGCACAAAGTCTTTATTAAAAACATATTCTGTTCTCTGGCTCTTAAGCCCTGAAGAAGATGATGACATTATATAACCAGACAGCAATCAACGAGCTTATCCCGTGCAATGGATGGGTATTAGTGCTCAAGAGAAGGTAATTGTGATGCTGTTGCTATTAATTTTATTATAGGTGGAAGTTAAAGAAAGTAAGAGAAGGAAGGTTTTTAGTGGGGGTAGTGCTTGAAAAAAAAAAATAAAAAAGTTGTAACTTGTTGCACAAGTTGTCACAAAAATCTATGGCACGAGCGCAAATGACTAATGTAGTAATAGAATTTGAATGTTGGACGGTCATTATAAAAAACTTGAATTATATTAATATCACTATTTTTCATGATATTTAATTAAAATATTGGAGTATATAAATGGTGTATTTAAAAGAATTGGCTTTTTTTTTTGATAAAATTTGTGAAATTGTTTCAAATTAGAATAATATATAAACAGTGATGTTAAGGGTGTTTTAGTTATGGAATTTAAATTGCTAATTAATATATATCCTATAAAATGGAGGGTTTATTTTTTCAAAAAAAAAAAAAAAAAATTACAATTTTAAACTGGGGGAAAACAAATTTATAAATTTGAGTGCCGTTTATAATTATGGACGGCACTTAACTTTGCTTAAAATTCAGAAATTTCCTAAAAGAGATTAGCAAGTGAAAGAAAAAAAAAAGTAAACAGTTTGCTCGATCAAAAGCCTTTTATTTTTTTATTTTTTTATTTTTTTATTTTTTTATTTTTTTATTTTTTTATCTTTTTATCTTTTTATTCCAAGTGACATTCTTTTTTTCAAAGCAGGAGAAATGTAATGCAAGCTATTTTGAAGGGAAAAGGGGGGGGGGGGGAAAAAAAAAAAAAAAAAAAAAAAGAAGGTGATTGTAAGGTAGAGTTTTGTTTGAAGAAGCAGGATTTAATATACTGATTAATTTCTTTTTATTATGTATTTTATTTTATTTCAAGTCTGGCATTTGAAAAAAAGAAAATGAAAAAGAAAAAAAAATAGAGATAAACAGAATGAAAAGAAAAAGAAAAAGAAAATAAAAGAAAATAAAAACATCAAAAATGAAAAAATGAAAATGAAATACTCGAGAAACAAAGAAAAGGCAGGCTAAAAAAAAAAAAAAAAAAAAAAAAAAAAGAAAAAAAAAATTTGAAAAATGAAAAACAAATAGGCCAAATATTTATGATAGGTGAATAGAAATGTAACATTAGACTTAAGACTTTTTGCCGCCAGTGTATTTTAGTGCCCGAAGGTTAAAATTTGAAATATCTAAAAAGGATGTAACAACAGCTTCTTATCTTTTGACTGAAAAAAACCAAATTGAATAAAAAATAAAAATTTAAAAACAAAAAGAGGCAATAACAATAAGAATAATACTAATAATTCTCATTTATTAAAAATACTACGTTAGTATGTAGTACGCTATCAAAAAATTCCCCTTAAAGACCGTTGTAAAAAAAAATTTTAAACTAAATAATTTGCTTGGCTTTTTAGCGCTAGCACACTAAAATCAATAGTTGCTGGCCATTTAAATACTAACATCACGCCTATTTTACTATAATGGTTATCGTAGCAGTCGGCACAGGGTTACTATTATGTTGATTAAAAAAAAAAATAAAAATAAAAAAAAATAAAATAAAAAACAACCCCCACCAGAGCCTTTCTCGTCTAAAGTTGATGCGCAAGTTTGTCTACAACTTTTAAGGATGTGCTTCAGCTTAAGGTTTAATAAAGAATGATATTCATGTATGACATTCATGTATGACATTCATACCATGTAATACAATAATATTACTCTTAATTATAATTAAGACTAATTATGAATTTACCAGTTGTTGTAGGGTAAATTACTACGGATAAATAATGCTCTATTTGTTAATAGTAAGCATTATGGGCAACCCAAAGATATTGACAGAGTATTTTCTTTTTTTTCTTTTTTATTTTTTTTTTAAAGAAAAAAAGAATGGAGAACTATATAAAAAATAGATATATATATATATATAAATAGTATATTCGAAAGTACCCAGGCGTTGGAATAGTTTTTTTTTGTTTGTTTGAAAAAAAGATATGTAGTGATAAATGTTGGGAAATTCTGAGGTTAGCGAATGAATACATTGAAGTTATAGATATAAATAAAGGATTTAGTAGGGGCAGACCTTAACTAGAATACAATGAGCTGAACAAAGCATAATAAGTTCAGTCTGACTTGTTGATATTGATATTATTATTATTATTATTATTATTATTATTATTATTATTATTATTATTATTATTATTATTATTATTATTATTATTATTATTATTATTATTATTATTAGTATCCTTATAAATCTATACTTTCCTCTAAGTCACTCATTATTTATGATATGAGATTCAAGAGATATTGGCGTTAATTGTGATTAAAACACGTATGGGAAAGGAATAGACAAGCTGCACTGCTAAGCATATCTCAACAAAACCCTAACCACTTCACACATACACATACACACACGCATACAGAGAAAGGTTAGGGTTCCGGCTTCTGAAAAAAAAAAAAAAAGTCTCAAAACATTGCTGAGATGCAATCGGTGTATGCCATGCAACAGATTAACAAGTTGCTCCTATCACATTGGCTTATATAGAGATTTACTTTTGTCCGGTCGCGCTATTTCTTAACAATAAAAGTCTTTGTAGGAAATTTAATGAGACACACTAGCCAATTACCTGACTTTTTTCCAAAAAAAAAAAAAAAGTGTTTTATTGCACCTATAAAGGCTTTTATCATAAGGACTTAATCTATCTATCTAGAAATAATATTGCAAGCATATCTTTAATAGTAGCAAGCAAATAAAAAGAAAAGAAACACTGTTGGGTACACTTTTTTATGGAGGAGGAGGTGGTGTATTTTTTTTTTTTTTTTTTTCAAAATACTGTACCGCAGTGCAATACAACAACAAACTCTTATTCAAAAACAGCTACACGCAAACCAAATTGGCAATAGTCCATGTGGCTTTCTGGAGGCGTAGTTTGCCATTTCAATAAAAATGTAAAGAAATCTAGATGTTCTAAAATATAAAAGATTGAGGTCTATTTACAAAGTAACCCAGCGAACAAAAAAAAAAAATAAAAAAAAATAAAACACTTAATTACTCCATATCAATTTAAAATAGTCTGTCTTAGATTATTAATAAATATTTTTATTTAAAAAAGGTATTTAAGCTGATAGTATATTGATAATTTCTTTTGTGATCTCTTAGAAATCCCATATAAAAATGTTTATAACACTGTCTATATATAACAAAAGTCTCATACTGAGATATGTTTGTGGAAATTTCAGTGCGCAGAGTAAGAGGGTGCATATCTACAAATCTGGTAGACATAATTAATATTTTTCTGAAAATAATAACATGCTTGATTTCTGCATTGGTAAGATAATTATATAATTAATTATTTATCAAAAATAAGGGATTTAATACAAAAGTAATGAGTGACAAAATTGAAATAAAAAAAAAAAAAGACAGATAATTTTAATGGGAATTTTTTTTTTTTTAAAAAAAATATCAAGAAATTGTTTGTGACTAAGGAATTTTTTTTTCTCCAGAATTTGTTTCTAGCGTGAAAAAGTTTTGTTAAATTAATAATTAATTGAAAAAATAAAATAAATAAATTTTTTATTTTTTTAAATTTTAAAAGTTTTTTGAAAGCATTAACGGATGAAATGGAAACAAGGCAAATTTCAAAGAGAGTGCTTTTTTTTTTTTTTTTTTTTTTGATTATTGATAGAAAAATACATTGATTTTAAAAAAAATTATCAAAAATAGGCAAACTAGCGCTCGATTTTTTTTTATTTTGAGTCAACATGTAAATTTTCAAGCTAGTCTTGATCCACATTTATGGAATACATATCTCAACAATATTTGAATGGTGCCACCAATGTGGAGAAACTGCAGCTTGAGGGTGGACCAAAGTCAAAAAGTTTTCAGCAATCATTTGAAGAATGCCCCATCAAGCCGATACCTTTTTTTTCTTTAGTCATTCATTACCCATAAAAATACAATCCTTTTGAGTGGAAAAATTTCCCTGATAGACTTAAAAGCTTATATATCAAGAAAAGAAAGGAAAAAAAAAAAGAAATAGAGTGTGGCTTTGTTTAACAAGTCCACTAAAAATAAAAGGTAGAAACATAAAGGAAAGAAATGAAAGTCTAGTTATTATTGGAGAATCAAATTTATATAGAGAGAACCTTATATTACTTGTTTTTCTTTTTATATATTAAAAAAAAAGAGGAGAAGTAGCAATCAATCTTCATTTAAGGGTCCAGGACTAGGTTTTTTTTTTCTTCCCTTGCCTCCAATTAGAGTTAATCATGAGCCATCTTGGGAAAGGGAAATAAAAAAAAAAAGGATGGGCATGAGATGGCTCAAGTACCCTCCAGGTTTTTAAATTTTTCTCCAAGGCTGGTTCAAGAGCCAGATAAGGAATAAGAAAAAGTCTTGTGTAGATATAGGAAGTGTACTAAGTAACAATTTTTAAAAAAGATCTCAAGCACTTCTAGGTGAATTTAAGAGTCTTACTAGGACCAAGATTGTTGCTAAGTTAACAAACTTGACCGTTAATTTTCGCTAGTTTAAAAATTAAATAAAAATTAAGATATCTAGATTTAATAAAAATAATATAAAAATAATAATATCTATGATTTGTTTACAAAAACACCAAAGTGTAAATAATTTATCTATTTTTGGTATTTTAATTTCCGCTTGTTAACGTATACGCTAATTTATCCAACACAACGGTAAACATTCGAACAATGAAAAAAAGCGTTGCATCACGTTTTTGAGCTCATCCGCAGAGCCGTCACTAAAGCTTAAAAAAAAAAAAAGAAGAAAAGGAATAAAAAAAAATAAAAAAAAAAAATTCAGTACACTTTGGCATAGACATAGTACTTGTCAATAACACCATCACGTTATGATTAATCCAAACTGGGAGTATTAAGACCTATGTACTATGTCATAATGTCCCAAACAGGCCAAAATGATCATCTACCATTTAGTTATGGAAAGAAGCATGAACCATATTCGATTAAGTGGAATGACTGGATAAATAAAATACATTGACATATATCAAAGATCTGGAAAATAGAAGGAGAAGAGAAATAAAAAAAAAGTAGCGTGATAAAAAAAAAAAATTAAAATCCATAAATAATAGATTTAAAAAAGAAGCCAAATTTGTTTCAGAAAGAGCAAAGTGGGTGTTTGAGGAGTATTATTTTGCAATTGTAGCAACAATCTGTATTCAGTTTTATCCAGATTTACGTGTTTACATGACTTTTTTTTTTTTTTTTTCAAATTAATATTTATCAATAAATTTATCGATTGTTGATATGTTTTTAAACGAAAAAAAATCATCTTCAAGACTCTCCTGCGTTTGAAATACCAAATTTGTGTTATTTTTAATAAAAAAATAAATAAAAGCCGTTAAAAATTTAACTCTGTTGTTCTAAGATAGTTTGAATTTATATATTTTTTTTTAAAAAAATACGTGACTAGAGAACTATTATTCATAATAAAATAAAATAAAAAAATAATAGCAACTTTATTAATTAACTAAGCTAAGATATGAATATGTCATGATGACCGATCTTTGAAAAGTTTTTACTTTCAAGGTAAAAACACTTATGAAAAATAAATTCTATGCAATGCAATTAAAAGTTTAGTTTGACTTCTTCACTTTCCTACCTTCCCCCCCTGCATTTTTCTTTTTTTATTTATTTACATCCTTTGCTAACGTTTGCTAATTTTTCAAATTGACACTCAAAAGTGAAGCTGAGGTGAATAGTTTTTAATTTTTCATGTGAAATTTTTTTTTTTTTTAAATTGATAATGCTATTAACTTTAAAATACCAAAAAAAATAAATGAGAGAATTGAAGAATTGTAATGATGTCATATGTTAAGTCAGAAAAGTTCCAAGTATTTATCTGCTTTTTTTTTTAGTCGAATCTTTAATTTAAATGAATAAAGATTGTTAATACTTGAATAGAGGGAAGGAAAAAAAAAACGAAGAAGAAGAAGGAAATTTAAGGTCTATTTTTCACATTCTTCATTGATGTTTGTCAAGAAAAATCTTGGTCTGTTATTGGTAGAACAAATAACTTAAATTTGCGAAAAAATAACGAAACATAGTACAAGACTGTTAATATATCTTAATTTATATTGAATTTTTTTTTTTAATTTTTTTTATCTTAACTTTTATCTTAACTTTTATTTTTATTTTAATTTTGATTTGATTTGGTTTTTATTTTAAATTTAATTTTTGATTTCATTTTATTTCATTTTTACTAAAAGCTTGTGGTTAAAATAATCATGGA